AACTTTACAAATATTGTCATAACATAGCATCTTGAACTTTGAATTTGATCCTAAAGGTAAAGGCCTTTTATTAAATTCCATTACATTCAGAATGAACCAACATATAAATTTATAAGGTGCAATATTAGAAAATTAATTCATGCAAAATGTAATTTCAATTCTTTTTTTTATTTTGGTTGAAAAATGTGTTTTTAACTTAGTTACTGTTGTAAAATTTAGGACGCATACATCAATTTAAATTGTAGAATTAATACCATGACTACTAACATGTAGAAGTTCAACTTTAAGTCAATACTAAAAGCTTAGTAAATGGTAAACTCTACTTAGCACCAAAATCATATATTTAATACAATTTTTTTGACCCTGTGCATGAATAGTTATTATTCAAATTTACATCTTATAACATATATAAAAAGGAAATTTATGCCATAACATAGGACAGTTTGACAAAACTCAATTTTTATTGCAAATACCTAGTAACATGCTGAGGAAATTTATGTAATGTTTTAATGGTTTTGAATTTTTATAGCATGTGTATACATGTATTACTATTGGTAACGCTAGTATAATACATTCCAAAATTCATGTATACATCTCACTTCTAACAATTGGATGATGAAAGAAAACAGTGATTTGAATTATTAAAAGGAAGTATCCACTATCATTTGTAAAAAATAAAAATAAAAAAACTAATGAAAGATAATAGTTTAAAGCCATGATTTGGGATTTGTAGTAATTACATACAGTAATTCCACGTCTGACACGAATTCAAATCCGGCTGCTCATATAGCTTACCTGTTACTAATTTATTATACATAGTAACACCAGTTGGGATATATGTGTGTGTGTGTGTTTATATATATATATATATATATATATATTGTGTGTGTGTGTGTGTGTGTGTTGGAGTGCCTTCAAAAGCACCATCAATTACCCACAAGATAAAGGAAAAGAAAAGATGGGGACTATACTAGTAGCTATAAAGAGTATTAATTTCATGTTTCTATAATACTGACTACTGCCACTGTAGAAGTTGTTGTTTCCTTCCAACTTCTACAAAGAACAAACGCCCTTCTGGCTGGAACTTGAGCAAAGGTGTATTGAGAGAAAGAGGGAGGACCCACATAGCTGTATGGTCCTCTCTGTGTCCTTTGAACTTTACAGCTGTGACTGTGAGAAAAGAATATTTACTCAAAGGGAGGTTTTGGTCCAAATTTGAATAACAAAGATAATATTCATGTGATTTTATTAAATGAAGAACAATAAGAACAGGAGATATATTATAAGCAAGGAAAAAAAAGGACTAGGTCAAAAAAGAAGGTTTTTTAAGATCACCAAGCTAAAGCCCCCAAGCCATCATATTATTCTACAATTATTGGTGTGGGGACAAACTGACCTCATGAATCTTTGGTCTTTGGTGGCAAGCTGTTTCCCTTTGAAAAAACACCTCTCTCTCTCTCTCTCTCTCTCTCTCTCTCTCTCTCTCTCTCATGAATCATGATCACTAGCATGCATGGACTACCATCTGTACTCTACCAACCTTAGAGGAGAGAAACAGAACCAAAAGAGAAAAAAAAAAAATGACCAAAGACAATCTTCTCAAAATCAAAGATTTTGTCTCCCAAATTCAAAATCAGCTCACCTTTTGGCTTTTTGCCTTTTATCGGATGAGTGGGAGAGTCTATCAAATTACAACCAAAACCATCAAACCCAATTAAATATCTCTCTTCTTTTCTTTTGTGGGAAGACTTTTACTTTTATTTGGTTAAAATGACACAATTTGACATATCTTATACAAGGGTTTGAGGGGCATTTATTATAAATAACGACACAATTTGAAGCTAGAGAATGATACGCATTAATTGAAAGTACACAAGTTTTGACAACGTTCTTTGATTTTCTTCTCTATTTTTGTTTTTTTTTTTTTTTTTTTTTTTGCTTATATTAGTGTCAATATCTCCAGTTATTTGCATGTACAGTGTGCATTCATCGGTTTCATAAAACTAATATATAGGCATATAACACGTGAAAAAAGCAAAATATACTTTCCTTTTTTTGTTACCAAAAAAAAAAAACAAAAAAAAGCAAAGCAAAGCAAAGAGAACAAACAAAAGGGTGAAGCATGCCCTATTTAAGAATCCACTAAAATAAGCATCATGAATCTCCACGCAAAGGAATGGCCAAGAGAATGTAAACTTTATATGGTAGTCTTCTACTAATGGGGTATCACCAACTTTCGCATTACTTTAGCTCAAAAAGAATGTGGGTTTTCTTATCTTCTTGAGTTAGTCTAATCAGATAAATAATATATAAAAGAACATGTTTAGCAAAAATAATACGTAAGAAAGGTTGAATTTAAGAAACAAAGGAATGTCGACGTTCAAAAATACCGTTGATCCTCTTACTATATATAATAATGATATCTAACATAATATGAGAACAATTAGTCATCATGAATTGTAATTCTCCTATTATATATAATTCCGCAGATACAGTAATTAAGTACAAGATTAAGTCTAATGTTGACATTTTTAGTTTGCATTGATACATTTATGCCTATGGATTTATTATTATTATTATTATTGCTATCGCTAAAGTCGTAGCTAAATTATTCACCAATTTCAATGATCTCAAATATTCAAAATTTTTGCTGGAGCAAATAGTAGGTTTCTTGATCTTCCCAATGAACAAAGTGGAGTTTAGTTCCATGAAATTCAGCCAATTATAAAGATAATTTCAAGAACTCAAATGTTTAAAATATATATATATATATAAAGAGTCTTAATTCCATTTAAAAAAAAAAAAAACAACAACAAAAACCTTTCTTTGAATGCACACATAAGAAACCACTAGAAGAAACAAAAGACATGGAGTAGGAAGATTTAGACAACGACTTGTTTGACCCCAAAATGTCTTTGCTTAAACATAAAAACAAATTTCTTCGATTCAATCATATAAAAATACATAAAGTAACACTAACAGTAGTAGTAGTAGTAGACGCACTCTAGCCAACAATTATAAATAATGAACAAATATCTGCTTCTTTAATATTGTGTGTGTGTTTTACAGCGAGAAGTACAAAAAGGCTATAGGAGAATCACAATCGAGTTGTACAAATATCCCGAGTTACTGTTTTTGACTTTTGAGGCCAATAACAGAAATTAAATTAATCTTCTAAAAAAAAAAGAGTAGTTAGTAATCCATTGGCAGTTTGAACTTTGAAGCCAACTTATATAAAGTAATTAACAAGTTAATCCACTAGCTGTTAAAATTTGTACGGAAATAGTAGAAAATATGCTAATATGAAAAGCTTAAAAAAGTATGTAGGTCAATTTTTAGTTATATAAATTAATATGTCATAACTTATTAAGTTATGGTTCATAACCAGATAAATTATTGACAAACTTGTCAAGTTATGGTTCATAGCCGGACAAGTTATGGACAAAAATAGACAATAACTTGTCAAGTTATGGTTCATAACCAGGTGAGTTATGGACAAAAACAGTAATTTGACATATTTATTAACTTATGTAAACTATTGGTCTATTAATTTTAATTCATCTCAAATCTTAACATATTTTTCTCTTTCTTCCAAATTTGTATTAGTAATTAGATGATTCCACGTATATTTGACCCGGCCCAAGCAAAACGCCATGTGAAAGCACATGCATTTCAAAAAAAAATTATGGACATTTCAAAAATTCAACATATTGTAGTGAATATATATGTGTGTGTGTTTGGTCAAAATTATACCGCAAGAGACGTAGAATTGTGAATGAACACTAAAAAGAACGATACATTCACTTTTTCTGTACCAATATATATGTTTCTGTTAAATGTTTAGACTTGATCCAACAGATCTGAAGTAAATTCAATAAAAAAAACGATTCAGTCACTTTTTTCTATGCAGAATTTTTATTGCTATACACGCACCTAGCATAACAGACTTTGAAAGTATCCCTAGAGCAAAAATGTCAACTATTTTAATGAGAATTCTAAAGCAAGTTATATAAAAATTGTAATTCTCCCAAGTCCAGTATCCAGACTAGTCCGGTTAATGATTATGTACCAATCTCTGAGGAACTCTTGAAATCCCACGTGAATCAAAATAAATTGACATTTAGTTTATAAATTTAAAATTATAATTTAAAATTATTTTTAATTTACATATATTTTTAAAAAAATATATTATACCAAACCACAATTAATAATTTAAACTATAATAAGAATTCTCATATCAAACACCTCTAAGACATTGAGCAGAGAGCAGAAGAGACGTAGGGTTCACAAGTTCCTTTCAGACTTCTAAAGATGGCACACCTATTCTATTCTCCTATACTCACCCCTATAGGATTGGGATTATAGCCATTGGGGATCCACAGTTGAAGCCAAAAGGGGTCTCGAAATCTAATAATAACTATAGAAGATGGTGTTTTCTTTTAGGTGAGAGAGACAGGTTAGACAAAGCGATTAGGAGTGATCACTTCCAACAAAGAAGAGAGAGAGATGGCTCTTGAAACGAAGTCAAACCCCCAAATCAAAAAAACCAAGTCTCCTTCAAAAACCAAATCCCCATCAAACCCCACTTCCAGACAACTTTTTTTTTTTCCTCTTCACATGCCAACAAAAGACAAACGAACCCATCTCTCTCCTAAAGAATTTCCCATTTTTTCAATTCACTATCCAAAAACTTATTAAGGAATTAGAATCAAACCGTTCACTTCACTGATTTAAATTTATAATTTAAATTGAGATATAATTTTATATGAGAACTTTTTACTATAACAAAAAAATTAAATATAATTATTTCTGAGAACTTTTCCCTGTAACAAAACTTAAATTCTAAATGGACTTCAATTAGTGAGATGAAAAAGAAAAAAACAATATGGGATGCTTTTATCTTTTCTTTTTTAGTGAATAACAATATGTACAAGATGAACAAATTTTTTTTTTGAATTTATTTATGATTATATGAAATATCGTTTCAAAATAAAGGTGTGGTCCAAAAGAGAGACTGAGCGGGATAGAAAATACAGGGAAGTGGACTGACTTTATACACATTATATATATAAATATATTGTTCTCGATTTGCCTCTTTTGTCCCTTCTCTTCTCATGAAAAGCCCACCCATCGTCACAAGCTCCAAGTCCCACTTCCAAGCCTTTGGGGGACATTTACACGGTAGGGACATTTTGGTAAATTAAAGCGGCGATGAGAGGTGGATCAGAAGTGGCGCTGTGCACTGAAAGTACAGTACTTTCCAAATTGCACCAAAATGACCCGGAGATATCATAATAATTTAAATATGGATTTCTTTTTTGTTTTTTTTTTCCTTCAATTATATATTACTATATAATTAAAGAGAATAAGAAAGAAAGGACAAGGAGAACTTAATGAGGGCTTCCGACAATGTCAACAAAGACACGGCTAAGTGAAGCCAATGATCTCATTTGCTGATCCTCTGCCTTTCTCTTCTTGAAGAGAGGCTGTGTTGGCGATGAACAAACCGATGATGATGATGATGATGATGAGACAACGGACCAGGAATCATTTGAGCTATCTGAGCTGAAAATGGCATCTATAACACCACTTGGGCTGCTTGGAACTTCCTCGTTTATCTTCCTCTTATTGTTGTATCCGTAATTATTAGTATAGCCACTTGATAACTCAACGATAAGAGTGTAACATTTCTCTACTTTTTCCTGTCATTAATAATAACCAAATAATGTAGTTGCCCGTTATATTAATGAAAACGGTTTGACAATAAAAAATTAAAAAGAAAAAAAAAATTAATTACCTCGCTTAGTTTGAGAACGCTTAGAAGCTGGGTTTTGTACTCGATAGCATTACATGGCTCAACATGGTCTATAACACGCATCATTGTTGCAGTGGCCAATACAGATGGAAGAAAACCAATGAACCTTGAATCTATAACAAGATCAAAACAAAAAATTATATATATATATATGAGAATTCTGATCTTCTCCCATGTTCTTTGTACGCATTGAAAGCTCCATAAAGTTCTTCAAGAACCGTATTATTATTACTACTTATTATACTTACCAGAGAAAAGAGAGAGAAGAAGACGCTCACAGCGTCTAAGAAACTCCCAGTGGAGATTGGTTTTTAGCCCGAGCCTCCTTACGATGTGGTCAAGAAACGACAAAGGAGTCACCGGGTGCATCTTCCATTGGAGCGTCGACAGCACCAAAAGCTCCATCCTTTGTATCGTTTTCGCTTCAAACACATACTTGCTACTGTCGTTCACCTACAATACGACAACAACCCATATCATTTCACATTCCAAAAAAAAAAAAAACAAGGAAAAAAGCTGAGAAAATTTTATAATATATATACGTACTTGGAGATCTAGAAGAAGAGGAACTTGGGTTTCCTCAACTTTGGCAGCCAAGGAGAGGCACGTGACAGTCACGAGGTGAATCATCCATGGCTTGTCTCTCTGAAAACGAAGGCTGGAGAGAAACCTGTCCAGATAGTTTATGGCCAACACCGCTGTGAGAGCGGTGAACCCATAATGGCCATTGACTTTGAGAATCCATTCCACAGCTTCACGACGAGCCAACTTCAGAAACGACATTGAGTTTTCTTCTTCTTCTTCTTCTTCTTCTTCTTCTTCTTCTTCTTCTTCGAAATCGGGATATTGGGTTTGCTTGTTTTGTTGCTCTTCTTTGGCGAAGAGAGAAACGAGCTCTTCGTCTTCCCAAAACAGGTCTTGTTCCAAAAGAGAAAACTGAAACAGATCAGAAGGAGAAGAAGAAGAAGAGATTTTTCCGCCATTAATATTATTGTTGTTATATATTTCACTCTTTTCCTCTTCGTCTTCTTCTTCCCATTTCTCTTCTTCACAGTAGAGAGCGTCCAACAACGTCAGAGAAGGATTTTGTTGCATTGCCATCTTCTGCTAAGAAGAGTTTTTTTTTTTTTGGGTTATACAGAGGAAAAGCTCATTCTCACACCCATCTCTGTTTCTCTCTCTCTCTGTGTTTGTGTGAGAGTAGAGTCTCTCTATTTTTCTACTGGGCGCGCATTGTCTAGAGAGAGAAGGTGAAAGTAGAAAAGGAGAGAGAGAGAGATTTTCAGCAGAGTGGGTTTCACGCTTGTCCTTTTTTCCGAAAAGTATAAAAAGGGCCGAGATTGTTTTTGTGCTGTTTTAAAAACCACCGTCCGATTAGGAGCATCTCGTGTTGCCACGTGTAGATTTGAAATTGCTTTTATTTGTTTAAAAAGAAAAAAGAAATTATTTGAATAAATAAATTGACATGTTTAGCCCCCTTTATTTTATCGATTTGAGTTTAAAATTTAAATTTTATCACAGTAAAAAAGCTCTCAAAAACAGTTATATGTAACTTTTTTACTAACAGTAAAAAGTTCTCACATAAAGTCACATCTCAACTCGAATCAGCGAATTAGTTTAGTTCATTGATTCTAATTTTTAATTCGAGTTGAAATGTGACTTATGTGAGAGCTTATTAGTGTTAGTAAAAAAGTTAAATATGACTATTTGTAAAAAAAATTTATTATAACAAAACTCAAATTTTAAACTCAAATTGATGAAATGAACAAGATCTAAATGTTCTCGGTCCCTATATTTGTTGAAGAAAATTCTCTTGTTTTTATTGTGAGTTATTATTTTAGGTCTTGTTAATTTTATTGATTTGAGTTTTTAATTTTAAGTTTTTATATAAAAATTCTTAAAAAATATTATATTTAATTTTTTTATTACAGTTAAAAACTCTTAAAAATGTAAATTTTAATTCGAATTAAAAACTTGAATTCACAAAATGAAGGAGACCTAAAAAATTTTAGAGTTTTTTTTTTATTTTTTTTATTTTTTTTATTTTTTGCGCTTTCGGTGTGTTTCGTTGGCGGGCAGAAAATGCAACGACACACACACCAAGCCGGGCCCACGAAAACAACCTCCTATAGAAGCCAAATAAAAGTCGCTGTGCTCGTGGAGAAAGCAGAAAGCTGAGGCACACTCTTCCCTCCATGAGTAGTATAACTAGTAAAATATTTCACGAGAGAAAAAAAAAAAAAAAAAACCTTGTAAAATAGGTTTTTACATTTTAACTTTTTTATAATTACAATTTGAGACTTTTTTTGAGATGCCTCTATCAATTGTTAACCATTAAATTTAATTAAAATTATATTAAATATATAAAATAAATGTTTTCTAATACAGTTTTAATAATTAAAAAATAAAAATTACTGATAATTTATTTTTTTAGTTTTATCATAATAATTCTTTTATAATTTATGTCATAAGATGTAAAATAATATGGTTTTAAACTGTCTGATCATCACGTAAAAGTCATATCAACATTAAAAAATATAAAAAATTAAGTCCAACGTTCAAAATTGTATCCTTCAACTATTGATATGTTATTTCTTTTTCAAACTTTAGCGCAGAATATTCTCGTTTTTTTTAGTATAATTACAAGGAATTGGGAAGGTATGGTGTAGTAAACTGATTTTAATAAAAATTAAATTCGAATTCTATGTTTGAGTATCTTTATTTTTTGTAGAATGTAATAACTTAAAAATGAAAGAACCAAAGTTATAGAAGAAAGAACCAGAGGATTTTATGTGGTCTGGAACGTCCACGGATTCTTCAGTCATTCTTTGATATTTTATAATGAGTTTGTAGTTTGTACATGGGTATAAGTAGGGATGATTCTCAAAATACAAGATGTCATCGAATGACAGTTCCCCTTAATTAGGTAAGTTTTTTAAATTTCCGTCAATGCAAAACAACATTTCATTAACAACAAAACATAAAACTTAAAGAAATCTCAGTACAAAAAACTTGATACAACAAATTAAAATTGGTATATTCATTAGCATCTTAGTATAGGGATCCAAGGTCTAATAGTGGACATAATTTGGAACACTTCTTTGGGCTCTTTTAATTATTTCTCCATAGTTGGCTCTCCCGAATGGGCTGTAGCAAATTCTCTACAAGGACCAATCTCTAAAAGCCAGTATTCTTTTATATCAAGCTCGCCAAAGCGAGAAATCTGGCTAAAGACATACAGAAGATGAAAAACAACCCTAAACCCATCCAGATCTAGAGATTGGTGGGGGAAAACAACTAAGACCAACAAACAAAACCCACACAAGGTTAGAGCTTGATGAGGAACACAACCAATATCAACAAAAACAACCAAAATCCACATTGATCTCTAGAGATTGGTGGGGGAAAACAAACACTAACAATGGTGGAATGACCGCCTTTATGACACCTACGGCTAAAAAAAAAAAACGAAGAAGAAAACACCAATATGGACTCCACCATCGTGTAGATTGATCGACGTAAAGCGCATGGGCGTATTTTGAAGGCCGATTAGAAAAGCGCTTTCGTTAGGCGGTCGGACTGTTTTCTTCTTCCCTATTCTCTCTCTCTCTTTCCCAATATGTACTTTCAAAACTTCATAATCGCAAATACAAAATGCCCTAAAGGAAAATGATAGGAGATAGTTCTATGACACATATTACAACTAGTGTACAAGTCATGAAATATTTAAAAATCAATCACACTCGTTTGTTTCATATACTAAAACTCAAATTATTGATTATGCTATAGTGTTTTTTGTTGGGAATTGTGTCTTAAAAACATAAGATGTAATAGGATATTTATTATTTATTTAATAAAAGAGTTTATTCATTATTTTATATGCATATATTTATGAATATTTTATGAACATCAATAAAAATTCCATGATTATTTATGTGACCTTAAACATTGTATATACGTGTTATATACGAAAGGATAATGTTTAAGAATAATAATAAAAAAGCAATGTTCATAATGAATTTAATTAAAGTTCAGAATCTTTAATTAAAACATTATTAATACATGTCATTCCCATTTAGAATGGAACGGTGTTATCCGCACTGTTAATATGGCGAGATATTGAATGAGTGTATTTCGCATAATGAGATTATGTGGAACAAGGACACAGACACAATATGAATTTCTAATAATTTCCGTTAAGCATAGAAATTCTAATTGAGTCTACCGATGGTCAT